AATAAAATGTAGATATGCAAAATAAAATCGAAACCGACATTTTGTAATATGAGAGAAAGTTAACCGGTCAGAGCATTTCCAACAGTTTTTTAAAAATAAAATATTAAAAGTCAGAATTTATAAATAAAAAAAATAATACAACTGCAATAGCTACTTTATTTTAACAATTATATTAACTATATTACTAAAATATTATATATATTGAATAAAATATTATTTCTCTGTTCTAAACATTTATCTTCAATATCTTTTATTGGTGGAAAAGAATTAAAGTATATTTCTCTATCTGATATAAAGTTTTCATTAAATTTACCTTTGGAGCAAAAAACTGTACTAAGTTACCAAAATTTCTATTATAGCATAGTTGTTGATGATAGTCTTTGGGGTCGTTCGGTTCGTGGAATTCAGAGGAATTTGATGAAATTGGAATAACAAATTCCTTTGACTAAATTCAATTCCTTTGTTTGGTTTGTTTTTTGAAATGGATGGAATCCTTCAATTTCTATTGAATTCCACAAATTAATGAACGTGTTATTCATCATAAATGTTATAACATCTTCATCTTCATCATGAATGTGTGGTTCATGATCAATAACATATCCATATTCATCATGAATATTCATTCTGAAGTGGGATATGTGGTGTGTTGTACGTAGTTCTCAGGCTTCTAATCAATTTTGGGTTCCTATTTTCTACTGGCACTTTCCTCATTATAAATATTTATTATTCAATTAGATAATGATATTAAAAAATTTACATTCTTATTAGAAGGAGAAATATCACACACACATATATAGAGGTCTATTCAAGGGAGAATTGATTAGTTTGTAATAACTGTGAGTTTCTATCTCAACCACAAATCAAAAGATAAATTAAGAAAATAATATTTTTGGTAATTTTGACTTAAATTTTTAATTAAAGGGTATTCTAGGTATTAAAAAATTTCTCTCTCTCCTTTGTCTCTCTCTCCTGATTCCGACCTCCGGTAAACCTTATTTCAGCGAATACCATGTCATACCTAATAAAATACCAAAATACACAATGCGATACCCAAAATACATATAATGTGATATCCAAAACACACCAAGTAAATTTCGAGACCTATGTGATACCAACTATAATACCTACGTTATATATATATATATATAGGGTTGGGTTCACGTGAGACCAGCTTGTTTTCGTGAGACCCGTGAGACCACATTTTTACACGTAAACTTCACAGCAAAAACACTATGAAGGTTTAAAAAAGTCGAACCTTCACAGCAAAAACACTGTGAAGGTTTTAAAAAGTCACCTTCACAGCATTTTTGCTGTGAAGTTTCAAGTGTAAAATGCTG